GCTCATCGGTTGCTCCCCAGCCGTTATCATCAGAGCACTGTTCCTTCCAGATCAGGGTTGGCACGGTCTGGAGCCGCTCCCGGAAGCCGTGGGTACAGGCCAGCCCGGTCGGTTGGCCGTACTCCGGTCTGAATTGATCTGGGAGACAGCCGAGCCCAGCCCTTAACGTTTCTTTCCTTGAAGACGGGCGCGGAAAAAGAGCTGAGCTCTGTCTTTTCTTCCGCTAGTTGGTTGTCAGCTCACGTCGACTGTACTGTTATCTGCTCAGCGGCTCACTGTGCTTGGAGAGGCCTGCTCTGTTGTCCTGCAAGCCCCCTATGTTTCAAGTGAGTCTTTTGCCACCCAGCTCGACAACACGGTGCAAAATTCTTTAAATGACATCATAACAATTCAATCTATTTTATCTGGGCTATACTGTTTGCGCGGTAGAATTCTGGAACAAACTTTGCAGTTTTTTTTTTCTGTTTTTGGAAGTTACATCCTGATGTAGCTGGAAGGCGAAAATATTCATCACAGACGTGTGTCCTGTTTTTACAAATGTTGCCAAAATGCTTCTGAAAGACAGTTAATATCTGACAAAGGATGGAACAGCTGTAATGTGATAATAGACTGAATTCACCCCCCTAAACAGGTTGAACAGTTTGTATTTCTCAGTCAGTTACTGTACCAACTTTAGTTTCTACTAAATATTCATCCATCCAGCCATTTTCTAACCTCTCTATCCAATACAGGGTCACAGGGGAGCCGGAGTCTATCCCAGCAAGCAACGGGTGCAAGGCAGGCTACACCTTGGATGGGACACCAGTCCATCACAAGGCGGACAGACACACAGACTAGGGCAAATCTTCCCAGAAGCCAATTCACCTACCAGCATGTGTTTAGACTATAGGAGGACACCAGAACATCTGGAGGAAACGCACAGAGAACGTACAAACTCCACAGAGATTGCACTGTAGTGTAGAGCGAATCTGAGCCTGAGCTGCTGCAGTTGAAGGCTGAGAGGTAACCAGCCAGTATCGTTTGACTCTCACAGCACCCAGTGAAACAGAATAATTTGCTCTTATCTCTCATATCTTTTCTTAAACACAGAAGAGCGATAGACATTTCTCAGCAGCGGAGTGACGCTCACACTCCTGAAGGCCACTGGCTGGTCTGTCCGGGGCCAGTGTGTGCAGGCCTGCCTGTGCTCTGCAGCCTGCCCGGCGGCGCCTCACTGCGCAGCTGCACGGCCAGCCTGCTGCTGTCAGAGCAAGCCAGGAAGCTGAGGGCTGCAGCGGATGTGAGTCAGACTTGTACGGTTCAAACAGCTGCTGAGGAGCGAGCAGAGCGACCTGCGATCTAACGGCCCTGCAGCAGGCCTACATAAAGGAGGAAAGCCGAGGGACCAGTTCTGGCCATGGGGGAACACTCAGCCCAAGCACC